GTGTGTGTCTCTGTGTGTGTCTCTGTGTGAGTGTGTTTGAGTGTGTGTGTGTGTGTATGAGTGGGCATACACAGCCTCCAAGGCACTACACACACACACATACACACACAGAGACACACACACACACACTCATACACACACACACACACTCAAACACACTCACACAGAGACACACACAGAGACACACACACACTCATGCACACACAGAGACACACACACACACCCACTCATACACACACAGAGACACACACACACAGACACACACACACACACTCACTCGTACACACAGACAGGCAGACAGACACACACACACACACCCCCTTAGACTGTGACCAGGGGAGAGAAGTGGGCCAGGGAAGACCTTGTAGAGAAGATGAGTAGGGATGTGGGCACCACTGTCCAGTTTGGGTGTGGATGGAGGAGGCGGGCTGACCTCACCTGTCTTCACGTACCCGTGTCCCTTCAGAGCACCGTGAATGCCTTGACCGCAGAGCTGCGGGACCTCCGGGCCAAGTTTGAGGAGGCCATCAACAACCATGAGCGCGAGGTGAAGGCGCTGCAGGAGCAGGCCCGGGATCTGGGCCGACAGCGTGAATCCTGCCTGCGAGAGGTGAGAGACCCCGAGGGGGGTAGGAGATGAGGCACATGGGGTGGCAGGCAGGGCTTGGGACAGGGGTGTGTGCATGGAGTGTGTGTGTGTGGGGGGGGTGAGGGTGAAATTCCCTGTCCCTCTTACTAACCCCATCGTTCCTGTCCATGATCCTCCAGTCGTCTCTCAGCTTGCCATTGCCTTACCCCCATCCCCCTCAACGAGCCCCCATCCCCCTCACTGAATCCTCTTCTCTGTCACTAAACCCCCATCCCCCTCACCAAGCCCCCATCTCCCTCACCGAGCCCCTATCCCCCCATTCCCCTCACTGAGCCCCCATCTCCATCACTGAGCCCCCATCCCCCTCACTGAATCCTTTTTTCTGTCACTAAGCCCCCGTCTCCCTCACCGAGCCCCCATCCCCCTCACTGAGACCCCAACCCCCACACCGAGCCCCCGTCTCCCTCACCGAGCCCCCGTCTCCCTAACCGAGCCCCCATCCCCCTCACCGAGCCTCCGTCCCCCTCACCGAGCCCCCATTCCCTCACTGCCTCCTTGACAAACAATGGGGAAAGGGCTCCCCCTGACAGCCCCACCTGGAGGCCCCTCACCCTGAGCTTCTCTCCCTCTCTGCTCTTGTCCTGGCCTTCTCCAGGCTGATGAGTTAAGGACTCAGCTCCGATTGTTGGAGGATTCCCGGGACGGGCTCCGGAGGGAGCTGCTGGAGGCCCAGCGGAAGGGCCGAGAGGGACAGGAAGGGCGGGAGGCACAGCGCCAAGAGACCCTAGAGCTGCGCCGTAGCCTGGGGGACAGCACCAAAGAGCGAGAGGCCCTGAGGCGCTCCAACGAGGAGCTGAGAGCCGCTGTCAAGAAGGCGGAGAGTGAACGCATCAGGTATGGTGGGGCCTGGCGGGTAGTGGTCAGGTGCCCACTCCTGAGCCCTTCTGTAGGCCCCATCTGCTCCCTAAGCCCTCGTTCCCCTCACGCACACCTGAGCCCTCATCCCCCCAAACTGTGCCGCCATTCACTCTCTGAGCCCTCGTCCCCCCTCATTGTGCCCCCATCTGCCCCTGAGCCCCTGCTCCCCTCACACACCCCTGAGCCCTCGTCCCCCCTCATTGTGCCCCCTTCTGTTCCCTGAGCCCTCGTCTTCCCCCTGCTGGGTTCCCATTCACTCCGTGAGTCCTCATCCTCCCTCACTGTACCCCCATTTACCCCCTGAGCCCTCATCCCCCCTTACTGCACCCCCAAGTCCTCATCCTCCCCCTACTGTGTTCCCATTCACTCCCTGAGCCCTCGTCCCCCCTCACTGTACCCTCATTCACCCCCCAAGCCCCCATCCCCCCTCATTGAGCCTCCATTCACCCCCTAAGTCCTCATCCTCCCCTCACTGTACCCTCATTCTCCTCCTGGAGCCTCCCACTCCCCACTGGGTCCTCCTCATGTTCGCTTAGCTCCCATCGCTCCCTAGAAGCTCTAATTTCAGTCCTTCCCTTCACAGAATCACCGCCCTTTACCACCCCTTGCCCACCACTTTTCCCAAGCCTCCAGAGCTTAGCACAGTGCCTGGCACATAGTACATTGGAGGTGTTTAATCAAAGTTTATTAACTGACTCTAACCCTTCCCTGAGTCCCATCCCCCCACTAAGCTTCCTCTCACCCTCCCTGAGCCCTCTTCCCCTTCTGAATCCCCATCCTGACTGAGCCCTTCCAAGGCCCTGAGCCCCAGTTCTGCTGACTGACCCCCCCTTTTCTGAGCTTTCATCCCTGGCCCTATTTTCTGCCCCCCAAGGTCCTAGGACAGTGCTGGGGGGTAAATTGTGACCCTAGCCTCCAGGCCTTGTAGGAGCTGGCCTGGGAGAGGCTGCAGCCCAGGGCCCCTAACCTTCTGCCCCCTCCACCCCCATGCCCACCAGCTTGAAGCTCGCCAATGAGGATAAGGAACAGAAACTGGCACTTCTGGAAGAGGCTCGGGCGACCTCAGGCAGGGAGGCAGGAGAGCTGCGGGCAGGGCTGCAGGAGGTCGAGCGGTCCAGGCTCGAGGCCCGGCGGGAGCTGCAGGAGCTCAGGCGCCAGGTATGGAGCCTTGTGAGGCAGGGACTCTGGGCCTTGCCGCCAGCTTGGTGGGTAACCGGGGGCAAAATTCCCTTCCTTCTCTGGGCCTCAGTTTCATCATTTGTAAAATATGGGTTATTGATCTCCATTGTCCCTTGTAGCCTCCAGTCTGGTGAGAGAAATCTGTCTCTGCCTGCCTTCAGGGAGCCTCCAGTCTGATGGGGGAAGCAGGCCACGTACCTACTCTACAACGGCCACTACTAACATATACCATTGCTGTAGCTTAGTAAAGTTTTTATGTTCACGTCACTCTTCCATTTGAGATTCCCAGCAACACTGGGAGGTCAGTGCTGTTATTCTGCCCATTCTATAGATGATGAAACTGAGGCTTAGAGCAGTTCAAGGACGCCAATAGACCTACATGTGGTAAGCAGGGCAGTTGGTTGTTGGCAAACTGAGTCCCTAAGACCATATGGTGTAGTGGGAAAAACAGGTGGTAGAGGCAGAAGAGCTGAGTGCGAGTCCGGATTGTACCACCCACTTGTTGTGTGGCCTTAAACAGCTGAACTTTCTGGGCCGCTCCTTTCCCATCTGTGATGTGGACAGAATAATCATTATACCTGTTGTTTATAGAATACATTAAGGTATGCTAAATGCTTTACCGTTATTATCTCATCCGATCCTCACAACAACTCTGGGAGGTGATAGGTACAGTTATTCTGCTCATTTTACAGATGGGGAAACTGAGGCTAAGGGAGGTTAAGTAGCAATAATACTAATAGCTAACATTTATATAGCACCTACTGTGTGCTAGATGCTTTACAATTATTTTCTCATTTGATCATCACAACAACTCTGGGAGGTAGTAGGTGCTATTATTATCCTTATTTTACAGATGGGGAAACTGAGGCAAACTGAGATTTTTTTTTTTTTTTTTAAGTGACTTTCCTAGGGTCACACAGCCAGTAAGTGTCTAAGGGCAGATTTGAACTCAGGTTTTCCTCATTCCAGGCCCAGTGTCCTATCTTTTGCACCCCTGGAATAAGATTTGAATGACCATCATTGCTATGAGACCTCAAACAAGATACTGGCCGTAGATTGCTTTGTAAACACCAGAGCAGCCCCGTCGGCTGTCTGAGGGACCTGGGTCAGAGGGGAATAATCAAAGTTAATCAGGGAAGCCTTCCTGGATTAGGAGGCTCATAGGCCAGAGTCCCCACAAGCAGATGGCACTGGACGGAGCAGGCGGGGAGCAAGCCCCCAGCTCTCCCTTCCAGCCTGAGCGCCCCTCTGTTGGCCCCAGATGAAGATGCTGGACAGTGATAACGCCAAGAAGACCCAGGAGCTGGTGGAGCTGCAGGGTCGAGTAGCCCTGAGCCAGCAGCTGGAGAAGGAGGCTCGCAGGGAGGCCTTCGGCCTCAAGCAGAAGGTTCTGAAGGGAGAGGTCGCCCTGGACGGGACCAAACAAGAGGTAGGTGGCCCCCCGGCAGAATGGGCAGGGTGGGGGAGTCACCCGCCTCAGGTCAGGGACAGTGACTCCACCCTTCGTGGGCCTCTGTCTCCACCACTAACTAAGGGCCTGGGAAGCCAGGCCTGTGTGTCCCCTCCCTTCTGCCAGCACCTTGGGATGGAGCGTTCATAGGGCGGGGAAGGTCTCCCCCAGCCAAACATCTGTCCCCAGATGTGCGCCCGAAGATGTTCTCGAGCCCTCACTGCCTCCGTTAATACTTAGCCACTGATCCCATAGGTCTGTGGTTGCAGAGAGAGACTTGGGTCCTGGGAATGGGGCTGAGGATGCCGCAGCATGGGCACTGACCGCCTCCTCCCTTCCCTCCCACCGTTGGTTAGAATCAGAGGCCGTAGAGCCGGGGTGGGGAACCTGCGGCCTCGAGGCCACAGGTGGCCTTCTAGGTCCTCAAGTGACTGAATCCAAACTTCACAGAACAAATCCCCTTAATAAGAGGATTTGTTCTGTGAAGTCTGGGCTCAGTCAGAAGGCCAAACCGAAGGACCTAGAAGGCCACGTGACTCCTTGAGGCAGCAGGGTTCCCCTACCCCTGATCTAGACTTTAGGGACTTTAAAGCATAGGTTATTCAAATTGGGAGGGCTCTTAGAACAGAGAACGTCAGAGCTGGGAGGGCTCTTAGAACATAGACTGTCGGAGGTGGGAGGGCCATTAGAACAAAGAATGTCAGAGCTGGGAGGGCTTTTAGAACGCAGACTGTCAGAGCTGGGAAGGCCCTTAGAAGGAACACAGAGGATCGGGGCTGGGAGGGCTCTTAGAACAGAGAACGTCAGAGCCGGGAGGGCTTTCAGAACACAGACTGGCAGAGGTGGGAGGGCCATCAGAACACAGAATGTCAGAGCTGGGAAGGCCCTTAGAAGGAACACAGAGCATCGGGGCTGGGAGGGCTCTTAGAACAGAGAACGTCAGAGCTGCAGGGTGCAGGGGAAGGACTGCCCTCTGACATACTCACCTCCTCCCTCCCCTCCACCCCTCCACCTCCACTCCTAGCTTCTTACAGTTCAGAGGAGACTTTTGGAGGTGGAGCAGGGATTCCAGGCCCGGGAGCGAGGCCTCCTGGGCTCCCTGGAGGAGTCTCGGGGCTCGGAGAAGAAGCTTCTGGACAACGCTCGGAATCTGGAGCTGAAGCTAGAGAGGACGCAGGCCGAAGCTGGGGAGCTGGGACTCCGGCTGAGCGCCGCAGAGGGCCGGATCCAAGGCCTCGAGATGGAGCTGGCCCGAGTGGAAGGGCAGCGGCGAGAGGCTGAATTCCAGCTGAGCAGCCTGCGCTCAGCCCTGCGCCGCACGCTGGGCATAGGAAGGGTCCCTAGTCCTGCCTTCCGGGCCTACGCCAACTCCCCTAAGAGGATCCCCTCCCCAGCGAGAGGTGACAGACAGGGGCCTCAGGCCTTGCTTGGAAATCCCTGAACCAAGCCAGTCAAAGGGGCATTGGACCACAGAGCCAGGGCCAGAAGGGGCATTAGAACACAGAGTGTCAGAACTGGGAGGGCCTTAGAACCTAGAATATCAGATCTTGGAGGGCTCTTAGATCCCAGAATGTTAGAGCTGGGAGGGGCCTTCAGAACACAGAATGTTAGAACTGGGAGGGTCCTCAGAACCTAGAACGTCAGTGCTAGGAGGGGCCTTAGAACACAGAATACCAGATCTGGAAAGAAGAGCACTTAGATATTATTGTTTCACTACTCTCATTTTTTAAATGAGGAAATTGAGGTCTAGGGAGTGAGTTGACCAAGGTGACACAAGTAATAATGGGGGTTCTAGAGCTGGGTCTAGAACCCTGATTTCCTGACTCCCAGCCCAGAGCCTTGCTCACTACACAATCTGCCTCCGTATGTGAACTTCCTGCCTGAATAGATAGGTGGCCAATAGAGGGTGTGTGGAGTACATGTCCAGAGAATGGGGTAGTCCAAGTGTGCCCATGTCAGAGTCAGAGGGCTGGGCACATGCAGTCCAGGACTCAGGACTCTTTCTGGCTCTCAGGGAGACTAGCCTGTGCCCTCTCTTGCAATACTGCTGTGCACCACAAGGTGTCGCCATCTCCCTTCCTTCTCAGTCATCCTTTCTCCTAAAGAACCTTTATTAAGCATCCGCTGTGTGGATGTGGGGTGTGAGGTGCCAGTCCTGGAGGAGATACATCATTTAGTAAGACATCCCCTCCCTGCAGAGAGCTTGCAATCTAAAAGGTAGATAACACATGCACAGATTACTACAAACCAATACATTATCATTAATATACAGATTATTAATTACACAGATTATAATACACACCATATTATTAATACACAGAATACAAAATAATACAGATTTATTAGAGAATAGCTCACATTTGTATAGTACTGGGAAGTCTAAAAAGCACTTTATACATGTTAACATGTTATCTCCTTTGCTCCCCACAACACCCCTGGGAGACAGGGTCTGTTATTAGACCCATTTTGCAGATGACAAACTGAGGCTGAGACTGCTTTCTTTAACTTTCTGACCTAGAGTTAGATAGCTTAGTGAGTATCTGAGGCAGATTTGAGCCCAGGTCTTCCTGACTCCAGGGCCAATATACTGCTTCACAAGCTGCCCTGTGAGAAACTCAAGACAGTGTTCTGGGGGGTCTAAGAGGAAAGAGTGTTAATAGCACAGATCTGTGTGGTGCGTTAAGGTTTGCAGAACACTGTCTGTCTCACCGGAGCCTCACAACCACCCCACGAGGTGGATTCTGCAGGTGTCAAAATCACAACCCGTTTTACTGATGGAGAATTTCTCCTGCTCACACGGCGAGTATCAGAAGTAGGATCTCAACTCAGGTCTTCCATCCAGCACTTGGGGTCCTCTGTTACCTCTCAGTTTTCACTGCCCAGGTGAGATCAGAGAGGCTTCCTGGAAGAGGTGGCATGGTAGGAGTTTCAGAACAAGACTTGGGAAAAGGGCGGACGTTCCAGGCGTGAGAAACAGTAGTGAGCAAAGGTGTGGGGTGGGGGTGGTCAGTGGGACAAGCCTTGTTTGCTGGAGTCAGGAGGGTGTGGAGGGGAGTAGTGTGAGATGAACGTGGAGAGGTAAGGTGGCGTCACATTGGAGAAGGCCTTGAATGCCAGGAACACTACTTGGCATTGGGGAGTCAGGCAGGATTTTTGAACAGAGGTATAGACTGGTCCATGATCAGGTCTGGCTACTAGAGAAGTGATTCTGGAGTGTAAAGGGTGGGTTAGAAGGCAGAGAGAATGAAGGCAGACTTGCCCAGGGTCATACAGCTAGGAAGTGTTTGAGGCTGAATTTGAACTCAGGTCCTCCTGACCCTGGGCCTGCTGCTCTATCCACTGCACCAAATAACTGCCCCTATAGTAACCTTCAAAGGTGAGGGCTGACCCTCGGCCAGCGTCTTCCTACTGTGTTGTGTCCCCCCCAAGGTTTGGTGGCCGAGGTGACCCAGACGACAACGGTGAATTGAAGGGAATAGTAGCTCAGATCTCCTTATGTCTTCCCCCAGGGAGTGGGGAGTCGCCTCCAGAGGGGTCCAGTTGCTCCAGCTCCCCCGAACGCACCCGTCACTCCTGCGCCACCTCCCCGGAGCCCATGTCCTCCCCGCCACCTCCCACCATGGACCTGGATGCTGAGACGGTGCGGGCGGCCCTGAGGCAATTCCTGAAGGAGCTCCAGGATGCCCAGCGGGAACGGGTACAGGCCCCGGGGTGGGTGGGGAGACCTAGAAGGCCCGGACCCCATGCCCAACCTCGACCGCACGGCGTGAGCGTCTTAGAAGAGGCCTTCTCCTCGGGACCGCTCCCTACTCCTGTTTCCCAGTTTGGGTCCCCTCCCTACCTCCATCAGCCCTCTAGATCCCCGTACCCAGACTGGGAAGTCTCTGGTTGGGAGGTAGCCTTCACGGTCCTCAAGAGGCCAAGCCTCCTCTCTGCCCTGATGTAGGATGAGTTACGGGTTCGAGTGAGCACCCTGAACCGACAGCTCGCCGACTCAGAAAGGGCTCGAGACACAGCCAACACCCACGTGGAGCAGCTGCAGAAGCTGGTGGTTGAGTGCGAAGAAGGTCAGTGAGGAGTTGGGGGCAGCCCGGGCCCCAGGAGAGGCCCCCCTCTTGCATTCAGCCCTGCACTGGAAGGGCTGGGGGTGCTGAGGCAGGGGACAGGGGCTGCAGGGCTCCGGGAACCGGAGAATCTGAGGAAGGAAGTCCAGGAGAGAGGGGCCTCAGCTGGGTCTGGGGTCTCATTCCACAGGGCGACGTGGGGCAGACGGGCGGCTGAGCGGGGCCCAGGCAGCCCTCGTGCTTCGCGAGGAGAGCGTCCGGCGCAGCGAGCGGGAGCGCCGGGCTGCTCTGGACCAGGTGGCCACCCTGGAGAGGAGCCTGCAGGCAGCCGAGAGTGAGCGGCGGGCCAGCCAGGTGGGTGTTGGGCTGTTTGCGTCTGGGCGGGTTCTGCCAGGGGTCAGTCAGTCAGTGATCCTTTATCAATCATTGACTTCCTACGTGTCAAATAGCAGGTGCTGGGGATAGGAGGACAAAAATAAGATCGGCTCTGTCCTCGAGGAACAGCTGAGTGGTACAGAGGTTAGAGCGCTGTGCCTGGAGTCAGGCGTGAGTTCAAATCCAGCCTTAGCTAATTCCTAGCTGTGTGACTCTGGGCAAGTCACTTCACCTATGTCTGGCTTAGTTTCCTTAAGTATAAAATGGGGATAATGACAGCCCCTGCCCCCTAAGGCTGTTGTGAGAATCAAATGAGATAAAACCTGCCCCCATAAAGTGTGTGTGTGTGTGTGTGTGTGTGTGTGTGTGTGTGTGTGTGTGTACTGTGTAGGAGGTGGGGGAGGCTTTTCAAATAGTTGAGGTTGTCATGGAGAAGGATTAGCTTTGTTCCACTTGACCCCAGAGGGCAGAACTAGGAGGAACTTGTGGGCATCTAGGTTTGAAGTCAGGAGAAACTTTCTCACCGTGTCCAGGAAGCAGAATGGGGTGGGGGTGGGGATGGGGGGGGACGGCGGTGGGGGAGTGGGGGCAGGGAGGTCCCCAGCTGGAGCCCAGAAGCAGAGGCCCCATGGCCACTTGTTGGAAGGGGCTTCTGGTTTACGTCTGGGTTGGCCTCAGGGGCCTCCCAGGTCCCTTCCAAGTCTGAGGCTCTGGCTCTGGGTATTTATTTGGCTCTCCGTAGTCTGACGAGGGATGCCACAGACATTATCTCATGTAATCTCGGGATTTGTCTGTGTAACATGAGCACACAGTGCGGGTGCTTGTGTCTGGTGTCCTGCATCATCTCTGTCTGTGTGTCTCTGTCTTTCTGAGTGTCTTTACAAGGTGGTTTTTCTGTAGTGGGTCTCTCTGTGTCCATAGATATTCACTGTAATCATGGGGGAGTCTAGGGGGGAGGCGATGTCTCAGAGTTCAGTTGGAGAGAAAGACCGGGCAGGTTGGGTTGGGAGAGGGAGGGAGGGAGAGAGGTGGGTAGAAGGACATTCACTCCCCCCTCATCTTCCCTTCCTCTCTGCCCTTGCCTTTCCCCCCAGCTTCTTCCTTTAGGGCTCCCCTGTCTCCCCTCTTTCCCCCCACCCTCCCCTGGCCCTGGGCCTGGCCTGACTGGGCAGAGCTGAAGGCTGCGGCTGGCTGTTGTGTCTGTGTCTCTGGCCCTGGCTCTGGTCCCAGGTGTGGGGGCTGAGGAGGGGTAAGGCCAGGAAAAAAGCTGAGAGCAGGCCAGGCCAGGGGTGGCCTCTGGGCCCAGACCCAGACCCAGACCCAGCAGGGAGAGGGACTCCAGAGGCTTCGGGTAGGGGGGATGTCTGAGAGGAGCCTGCCTGGCTCCCCAGGAGAGCTGGAGTTACTCAACACTCCCTTCCTCCAGCACCTCCACTATCCACCCCCCACCCCCACCCCCAGCTCCAACTTTCCTGTCTCAGCCTGGCTGCCTGAAGCCAAGGGAGGCAGCTGGCCTCCCCACCCCATCCTCCTACCCCTCATTCTTGGAAACTGACAGCCCCCAAGCCCCTGGTCTGACGACTCGCCATGATTTCTGGAGCTGCCACGTTCATTGTAGAATTACAGGATGTCAGAGCTGGAAGGGACCTTAAAACATAGAATGACAAGCTGGGAGGGGCCTTAGAACCCAGAGTGTCAGAGCTGGGAGGAATCTTAGAATACAGGCTGTCAGAGCTAAGAGGGCGGCTAGAGCAGGCTACAGCACGGAGCGTCAGAGCTGGGAGGAGCCTTAGAACACAGAATGACAAACTGGGAGGGACTGTAGAACACAGAATGTCAGAATTGGGAGGGATCTCTGAGATCGTTTAGTCTCATTTCCTTCATTTCATAAATGGGAGAACTGAAGCCCACAGAGAGGAAGTGACTCACCTAAATTACTCTTGGAGTTATCCCTTTTCTGAAGGAGTGATCAGGAGGGGGAACCTGGTATGGTGAAAAGAATAAAACTTCATTGAGTGCCTACTATGTATTAGGCACTGTGCTAAGTGCTTTCCAAATATTATTTCATTTGATCCTGAAAACAATGCTGTGCTGTTATCCCCATTTTACAGATGATGAAACTGAGGCAAACAGGTGAAGTGACTTGCATGGGGTCACATCCTGGATTTGAATTCGGGTCTTCTTGACCCCAGGCCCAGCATTCTGTCCACTGCACCTTTAGCTGCCAACTGGTCCCAGAAGGGGGAGGCCCGATCAGGCTTGGGGGAGGCTGATCGGATCACACTCTTGCAGGAGAAGATCAGTAAGATGAAGGCTAATGAGGCCAAGCTGGAGAGCGACAAGCGGAGACTAAAGGAGATCCTGGATGCCTCGGAGAGCCGGGCCACCAAGCTGGAGCTGCTTCGGCACTCCCTGGAGGGCGAGCTGCAGCGGAGCCGGCTAGGGATGGGGGACCGGGAATCCCAGGCCCAGGCTCTCCGGGATCGGGCAGAGAACTTGGAGAGACAGGTGAGACTCTCCTAGGCCTTTCCTGTCCTCATTTACCCTCTGCCTGCCCCTCCAAGCCTCGTTCCCTCCCTTCTGGTACTCCTCTTCCTTAGAACCTAGGATGTCAGAGCTGGGAGGGGCCTTAGAACACAGGACATCAGAGCTGGGAGGGGCCTTAGA